AAGACACCAGGCAAACCAAGCCAAACAAAGCAAACAAAACCGAACAAACCAAACAAACCAAACAAACCAAGCAAACCAAACCAAAGAAACCGAACAAGCCAAGCAAACCAAACCAAACAAACCAAGCAAACCAAACCAAAGAAACCAAACAAATCAAGCAGACCAAAAGAATCAAACCGAGCAAACCAAGCAAACCAAACCAAACAAACCGAACAAACCAAGCAAACCAAACCAACCAAACTGAACAAACCAAGCAAACAAATCCGAACAAACCAAGCAAACCAAGCAAACCAAACCAAACAAAACCGAATAAACAAAGCAATCCAAACCAAACAAACCGATCAAGCCAAGCAAACCAAACCAAACAAATCCGAACAAACCAAGCAAATCAAACCAAACAAACCAAACAAGCCGAACAAACCGAACAAACGAAGCAAACAAAACCGAACAAACCAAGCAAACCAAACCAAAGAAACCGAACAAACCAAGCAAACCAAACCAAACAAACCAAACAAACCAAGCAAACTAAACAAACCGAACAAACCAAGCAAACCAAACCAAACAAACCGAACAAACCGAACAAACCAAGCAAGCCAAACCAAACGAACCCGAACAAACCAAGGAAAGTAAACAAAATGAACAAACCAAGCAAACCAAACCAAACAAATCCGAACAAACCAAGCAAACCAAACCAAACAAACCAAACAAACCAAGCAAACCAAAGCAAAGAAACCGAACAAGCCAAGCAAACCAAACCAAACAAACCAAGCAAACCAAACCAAAGAAACCGAACAAACCAAGCAAACCAAACCAAACAAAACCGAAGACACCAGGCAAACCAAGCCAAACAAAGCAAACAAAACCGAACAAACCAAGCAAACCAAACCAAACCAAACCAAACAAACCGAACAAATCAAGCAAACGAAACCAAGCAAAACCGAACAAACCAAGCAAACCAAGCAAACCAAGCAAACCAAACCGCACAAACCGAACAAACCAAGCAAACCAAACCAATCAAACCAAACAAACCAAGCAAACAAAAACAATAAATAGACCAAGCAAAGCAACCAAACAAACCAAACAAACCAAGCAAAGCAAACCAATCAAACCAAACAAACCAAGCAAACCAAACAAATATAAATAAACCAAGCAAACCAAACCAAACAAACCAAACAAACCAAGCAAACCAAAATAAATAAATAAACCAAGCAAACCAAACAAATCAAACAAAGAAAGGAACAATAAGCGACCCGGAGAGGATTCGGAACTCGGTGATTGCAAGCCGGGATCCCCGGCGCCAGCGCGGCGAAGCGCCTCGAGCTGCTTCTGCTGCAGCACCTCCGCTCTGGGCATTTTTTTTTGCTTTTTTTCCCGGTTTGACAGGGACGGATGGGCTTGAACCGCTTTGAGATTTTCACCACAGAATCACGGAAAAGCCCACCGACAAATCTTGCCTGACACGGGAATTCGTCTCGGCCCACAGATCCACGGGGGAAAAACAAACACAAACACCGCCAACAAATCTTGCCTGACACAGTGCGGTGAGGCTCGCTTTGCTCGCCCTGTGTCGTTGCCTTTGGTTTCCTTTCAAAGCAAACCCTCAAACAACCTCCCAAAATGCGCATGTGCTGTGGATTGGATCAATCGTCCAGTCGGCAGCTTTCTGGCGGAATTGTTCATCACTTCCGACGTTTGCGTCTTACGCATCACCCAAGCGGGAACTCACTTAGCCAACTCGTCGTGCATCATGTATAATCATTCACAAACTGGGCACAAGGAATGCCAAAAAGCCATCATCGCGAATCGGCGTGCCCGGCATGTTGTGCAGGCATAAGGTTTAAACTAGCCACGGGAAAGATGTGCATGACAACTCCAGCTCTCCAACTACGTGCGCCCCCAAAAAGCGCCAACGGACTGTTAGCCCCGCCTCGCCCTCCGGAGGCTTCTCCCTTGCGAGGGAGGCGTGTGGCGAGTGCCAAAACCAGCTCCAGCTTTCCCAGATCACTGGTATTTTGGGGTTGTTTGACATGAACTAGCATTCTGTTGTGTGAAACGCTGGTATGAACCCTGGTATAAACCCCTGGCTCAGCTGAGCTTGATTCCGGGAAGCCAAGCATGAAGGGAGAATTCAAACGGATTCCCCTGAACCTGCCTTTCAAACGCTTGGCTTCATGCTTGTAAAGAAACTGGGCCAAAGACCAATTTGCGGTTCGATTGCTGTTCTGAGCTTTGGCGCAACGAACATGGCGTAGATCGTGGATTGCGAGTTGTTCCACGTGCCAGAGTGGAAAACGTGAGCTACTCTGCAATTCGACAAGAAGCAAAAAGAACGATCCTCCAAAAAGAGGTTCCACAGGCGGTATCCATGTGAGTAGTGCCCAAGGATATCTGTTCAGCATGGATCAAACGAGCCAACATAACCCACCAGAAAGCACGTCCAAAAGACTTGTAGAATGCCCCCCTTATCAAGGGGAAGTGGACAGACCCGAGAAAACAACTCCAAAAAAGAGGCCGGGCCCCCGCTTCTTCGGCTGTTGGGACCATTTCAATCATCCCGTACTAGTTACTGGGGGGTCTTGAATGGACCTCGCACGTGGCCCTGGAAGAAAATGGTAGTCTGCCACCCTCCCATCAATCAGCTTCTATGAGAGGGACGTAGAGGGACAAGGACATTCAAGTCTTCCAGTATCTTGGATTCAACCTGGCTTAGCTCAACAGCCTGACATAAGAATTGGACCCCAGAACAGGAACCCTGCTGACGCAAACCAAATGCCAACTTTGTGAGGTCGCGACTTCTCATTTGCCCAGACTTCGGTTTGGGCCGAACTTCGCAGCCTGCGGGTTGCTTGATCGCTTTTCCCTTAGAACGCTTCACATGCAGTCAATCTATGCTCGGTGAATCAAGTTTCCAATTTAAGCCCAGAAACGGCTGCTGTATCTTAAATCTACTGGCTCAACCACATGCGGCAGTTCTTTGCTGTGTTGTGACAAGATAGGAGACAAACGTGCAGCCAACGCAGCACAGCTATATGTGAATACATGTTTTGCTCACATGCGCACCGTCTTCACAATGTAGAAACCACACATTGTTTGTCTAGGTTTGTGTCGAGATCAGGCTTCTCTTCAAACCGCAGCGTCCTTCATATTGAGGCATACCTCCTGTACGATGGCTCAGCAATGCAGTGCTTAGATGGCAGAGAAAGGAAGCCTTTGGGCCGAAAGCATTCTGCCAAACAAGAAGAGACACATCAAAGAGGAGCACGTGGCATCCGGGAACGAGAGGCCAAGCAGACCCTGGGAGGTACCCTCCCACAGTTCACTCGCAACGCACCTTGTGGGGGACAGGCGCCTAAGACGAGAGCTGCAGCTCCCCGGAACCTAAAAGGGCTCGTCCTGAAAAATACTTTTAGACATGATGGTTTTTGGGGTTCCGTGCTTGTCTTCAGATGTAACAAATGTTCCTTGGTCTCGAACGTGACCCTTTGCCAATTGCCCAAAAGCAGGGTGGCAACACGTTCAACCTGGGCAAGTTTCTGAATCTTGCAGTTTTTTTTTGCGTTTGCAAGCAAACACCATCACCCCACCTAAAGGACTGCTGTCAATGGCTGACCCCACCCAAAGGAGAACCATTCAAAAACTTGGCCTGACTGAATGGTCTGAATTCTGCGGTCAATGGCTGATGACCGTCACTCTTATCGCTCAAGCATCAGGCGGTTTGAGCCTGGCACAACTGATGCTGGCATGGTAAGCAACCATCTTTGCCTCGATAAGGAAGGCTTACCCCTTGAATCGTCTTGTCGTGCCGTCAAAGCACGCCTCGCCAGCTGAATATGTCCAGGGGTTCGAGGGTGTCGCTCTGTCAATGACGGGAAGGCAAGCTCTGGAGAAAGCAAGCTGCGACTGTGCGGAATCGTGGCCGTACGTCCTTGTGAGGTGTTGCACGGCCTTCAGAGGAGGGGACGTTTGAAGGGGCGATATGCTGGAAGAATCGATCCACCCCTGCTTTGATGGTCTTAGTGTCAAAGTATGGGCCTCGTCACGCTCTCCGTATCAGCTGTTCGGGGGCAGTGGAATAATCCTCTAGAGAAAAGAAGACTAGAAGAAGGAAATTTGCAAAGCGCTATGCAATGAGCTCGACAAATACAATGGCCCAAATACTCTATGTACTGACCCAAAACAATCGACCAAAAAAGAACAATGCCGCCATGGTGAATGAAGTTGACCAAGTCCCAGCGCGTTCGTTGTACTTTGTGCAAAGCTCGGCCAACGGACTGCACTTTCAACACATCCCAATTCACACAAATGAACATTCGAAGTGAATTTTCCCCACGTTGATTGTCCACTCTTTACTCTGCAATTCGTAGGATCGGTAGACGTGCCATTCACGTTGCACGCCCAAACACAGTTCTCTGCACCTTTTTTGCGCTTAGCCTGCCTGTTGGGATTTGTCCTTGCGACTTTGGCCTTGGGAAGTGAAGAGACCTATAAAACAGCTTCATTGCCGGAGGGCGATGTATAAAAATAATAATAGTAATAATAATAATAGTAATAATAATGATCATAATAATAATAATATAACGCCAAAGGTTCAAAGGCAAAGCCTAATTGCAAAGCATCTAAACCTTCCTCCCACAAAGCAATCAGGAGGCTGTTGGCTTCAAATACCATCCAAACGGGAGCCAGACCAACTTGAGAACATACCTTTGGAGGGCTTCAACTTTGGTTGGGCCACCTGCTCGACATGAGCCCCGGCTCCAAAGCGATCTTGATTTCAGATTTGACTAGACCATGCATTACTCGAGGAATCCCCCACCTAAGATGAACAGATTTCCCCCATGCAAAGGGGGAACAGGTCCTCAGTACCTTTGATTCATTCAAAGTTGCCATGACATTTCCAGCTGATTTCCCAAGGGCTCCAGCAAACCGGGTGTGCAAGACCCTTTCTCCCCCTTGCGACAATCTGCTAGAAAAATCACGAGGCTCGCCACGCCCTCCCCCCGGACATTTTTTCCAATCCCTGATGGACCGGTGCCGGACCAATGCTGAGCCCATGGCAACACCTTCTGCAGGGCTTCCAAGGTGTCCTTGGCCTCAAAAACTCAGAGGTCTGCCAGCCATGCGGCAAGTCTGCGAGCTGAGAGGGCATGTTCTACAAAACATAGAATTCGCAAGCACCATCGGAGGTCGGGGCGAACACCTAAACTGTTTTTTCCCCACAACTCGCAGTGGACCTACAACCCCTGAGGTCCTTGCCTTGGTGACTTTCATGGGACCCATGGACTCCCATCTTCCCAAACTTACCCCAGACCGAGCGCATGTCATGCCAAACCGTCGGGTCTAGCAATCACATTCCCTTGAGCCCCGTAGTCTTTTAAAGGACGCGAGCACCTGCATGAGCTACGAGAGCCTTGCTTCAGGACGCGTCCTTGCAAACGTAAAGGCACGTCGATGCTCGGGGCTGGGTTCTATCTGAAATGGTCCTTACCAGGCACGTCGATTCTCACCATTGTTTGTAGGTCAACAAACAAAATTAGTAATTGCTTGGCCCCTACCCACCCCACGCGAGGAACAGATTAGCAGGAGATAACAACAAGTTGTAACCAACACCAGTAACCATCACAATTTTATCATGCAACAAGGATTCCGCCTGGTATCTCAAGAAATTCAGGCCTCAAACCCATCCACACCTTGCCGCTTTTTGTCGCCGCATTTGAGGGCCGGGCCAGGTGTTCGGGAAGCGTCAACAACTGACAGCCTTCCTCGGTCGAGCTGAAAAACCGGAACACGCAAGAAACATGGGCGAGCCACGTGCTTTCCGAGTTTTGGGCTAGGCGCCCCTAATGTGTCTCCCACGTTTTCGTCCATGCATGTATGTGTGAAAATCTGTATCCAACTGTGTATATATATATATATACACATGCAACATATATGGAATACGTACTTATGGGCGCTAGGTGCATCCTACTCGTTAGTGTGCCTTTCCCTTTTTTGTGTGTTTATCATGGAGAAGCTTTCTTTCCCGTTTTCTTCGGGGCGGGGGGGGGGGGAGGGTAACGCACCTCATATGACTTATGCCCAACGACTCCACCAAATTCCAGACTGCCAGTGACCAAGGGGGAAGGAAAACACATTATTTTGGTTGGTTGACTTTAAAGGAAAACCAAAAAACACAAATGACACAAGAAACAAGTCTGGACATGTTCCTTTTGGGTTGGCTGCCCCTATCACATGTGAGGGACACTACAAACCTCCCAAACAACCTCCCCCAATGGGTTGGTAGGGTTCCGGAACATGGGCAGCACAGCGGCCGCAGCGGCCACACGGGTTTCCAAGGGTATCAACCGTGTTTTGTGTAGTTGGATTGGTCGGAAAGTGTCCCAGAGCATTTACTCACCTCTGACATATTTTTCCCAAGTTAAATTGAAGGGAACGCCACCAACAAACAAGTCGTTGCAAAGGAAAGCACGGGAGGGCTGGGAAGTTTATGCTGTCGCAGGTTGCTTTCGTCTGAAGGCCCGAGGCTTGACGATCCCAAAGAGGACACGGGAAACTGGGGCGGAGGTTCCCGCATGTCCCCCAAACTGCAAGGAGGCAAAAGCCATTTTTTTCGTTCATTTCTGGCCGGCCCCAGCCAGTCGCAACTCGAGACCTGCGACCAGTGCCTTTGGGGAAAGCTCTTATGCCTCAAATTTTCCATGCCCAGCGACAAGGAAACTACTTTCTTGCCTTGCTCATGTTTCACACGGGAACTCGCCCCAATGAAAGGATAAGCAGATAAGCAGGTGAACTAGTGACACTTGATTGCCCAGACCCTGTCAGTCACGTCGACACAAAGATGGCAATCGAGGTCAATCAACAAACGCTGGAGAATCACGCGTGCTTCTCAAAGTGCAGGCGTTCCATGCGCTGCGCTCCGGGCCAGCTGAGGCGTCATGCATTCACATCAACTAAAACAAAGCTCTCAGCTTCCCACAACCCGCTGTTGCTTCAAATCCACCACTGCGCCTCACGAGCCGGCTGACACATCGGGCCCCTGGCCCAAACACCCTGCAGGGGAGTGAGCTGCTCAGCACTGAGCCGCGTCTGCAGCCTCTGCTCACAGGAGCCGGCTCATGAGGGAGCGTGTTTGGGACATGGGGAACGGGGGGGAGAGGAGGGGGGGGTTGAATTCCATGAGCGAGAGTCATCCGAGAGTCTGTTTTGAGGTACCCTTATGGTGCAAAGAGGACGCCACGCCAGACCATGTGTGAGACACACCCATGTTTGAGGATGTCACCGAGTTTGAGACACACCCATGCGGCAGGCAGACTCCTTTGTTGGGGGGGGGAGGGGGGGGGGGGACGCGAATTAAATCGTCGTCTGAAGCGAATTCGTCCGGCCATGGTCCCTCTGACCAAACCATTCAAACAAGTACACCAGGAACCGAGAAACAAACATCGCACGGACCCAGGAACCGGCAACCGGGCTGCAGGCAGGGTTTGCAGATCTTCACGGACGTTGGCAGTGAAGAGCTCGATCTCCACCTGGATCGAGTTTCCCAGTGACCAAACTCCCGTTGGATATCCTGGATGGATTCCGGGGTCGCAATCTGCTTTGAGCTCCACTTGCCCAGTGGATTCGGTGGGTCCCGAACAGGCAAAAAGGCATTTAGAGGATACCACTGAACAACTGAACGACTGGGGGTGTTGACAACGCGCCAGATTGGGTGGAAACAGTGAAACAGATTGATGCTGATGCAGATTTTGGCGCATGCTTGGGGCTTTGGCAAAGCTTCTGAACTTTGAAACGTTTAGTGTCGCTTCTCGTCTAGGTTCTTCAAAATCAGATCCCAAATTTTAATCTGCAATCCGTGGTGGGACAGTATAACCAGCGCAACCACAACCTGGCATAAGGATTGATCGTGAACTTGGCAAAAAATACCCACCAAAAGAGTCCCTTACACAGGACACTTGCCTTCCAGCAACCCTTGGTCAGGTTTTGTGTCTCGCGGTGGGTGGTTGTTCTTGTGTAGCTGAAACTGGAAGGTGTGACTGGCGAACCGCCTCGTTGGTGAAGCGGCCCTGTCTCAGCTGCGACGACCTCAGAATGCGGAGCCGCAAAACCCTTGGGATGTCTTCTTCCTTTTGGGTACCCGTTTGGGGCCTGGGTGAAAGGGACAGCAGCGTTTTTCTTTAGGTTCGTTTTCTGCATTATCCAGGACATTTCACAATTTTTTTGGTTCTCTTCTTCATCTTGAGACAAGCCAATTGTTTCGCGAAGGTCAAAGCGCCCTGAGCCGCTCCACGCAGATGGTGCTGCCAACACCGCTCAGGACGTGGGCAATGCTTTCTGAAAATAGGCAAGGACATTGTGCGGTGTGGGGTTGAACAGCATGATGTTGGATTTTATCGGCTGCGCCAGTCTGAAGGATCTGCGGGTTCTGGCCGGAACCCCTGGATTTCGTGGGTTGAAGGGCAAGAATCGCAGATGCCGACTTTGACCAACCTAAGAAACAGTGAAAACAAGGTCAAAGCACTGGGGTCTGTCTGACGTACCTCAACTCAACACAATTTGCAGGTACGGGTTGTGGAGGTATGGAGGCTATGCATCCGTTTGCAAGGCAATATATGTACTACTCCATACCTCCGACTTCAAGACCCACCATTCGATTCAGGTGAAATCCTGATATTGGGAAAATTCATGTCTGCAAGTCTTCACAGGTCCGAAGTCCATGAGAACCAAACCAACATATGCACCCTTGCCGTTCTTTTTGGCTTTCCTGGCTGGAGTGGGGGCAGGGTCTAGTTGTGGATGTCACATACTTACTCGCTCAAAGGGCCGGCAAATCAAAGTTTAAAGTCTCTGCCTTACCATGTGCCATGGAACTCCAAGGCGGAGAGGCGGCTTTCAGAATGTGGGAACGCCCCAAGAATGGCGACGGCTTCGTTGTCTTGAGCCCACCCCATGGTCAAACAAAAGCGAAGCCAAGCCCGGCTTCGTGGCTTGTGATCTCGGGGTGCGGCAGCAGACTCGACAGCTTCCCCACGATGGACCTCGGGCTCCAAACGAAGGTCTGGACCCTCGCCGAGTTTCGGGTGTCCAAGGGCATCTGGTGGCAGGTTTTGGAGTTATGGGCCATTTTCCACTTTGAGGGGTGTAGCTTTTCAGAAATGGGATTTGGTGGTATATACTGCCTTACATTCGCCTGACATTCAAACCCATTCCTGAACATGTTGTTGGCTGACTATTGCCCCATCCTCGGACCACCTAGGCCTTTCCCAAAAGTAGGAACTCTCTTCTTTTGGACAAGGCAAACCAACACCTTTTCGGATTTCGTCACCCTCGTGGACACTCCCAAGTTCATCTCAAAGAAAAAGCAAGCACGTCCGAAGAAGCTGCACCCAGGGCGCTGGGGTTCCCATACAACACCAAAGCACCTGTCGAGTCCAGTCTGTTAAGAATTACCAGTTCTAGATTATCATCACACGCAAGCTGATTCCTTCGGGTCATTTCCGGGCGGAAAAGAACATCATTCCGCCAAACAAAGGCAGACTTGAACTGGGAAAGCATCAACTCCATGCTTTTTTTTGACACAAACTCCGACCTCCGGACCAAAAACAACTGACCCCTAGAGGGCGCCGCCCTTTTCGGGCACGCTCAACGCCCTGGGGTTGACACCGCCGTTTTGGCGCGCCTCGGGCTGCCGTCTCGCCGCGTTTTTTTGGCCCCGGGCTGCGCGAGGGCCTGGAAGTTGGCGCCGCGGAGCTGCTCGGCCAGACTCTGCCAGGGCCTGCGCGTCGCTCGGGCGCTTCCGGTGGGAAGCCATGGGATGGTCAGTGCGCGAGGCAAGATCCATTCCAGCGGGAAGCTACACCGAGCTTCCTGAATTTATCTGACCAAAACAGGCTGTCAATGTCAATATAAAATATCAAGACAATAGATGCTTCAAAAGTTGCAATAGGGAAAGAGATAAAAGTGAGAGGGGATGTGATCCTAATTGATGTTCTTTCCCTTCATCTCTTATGCCCATCATTTTCCTGCATTCGTTTGACGGACGGAGGTGGGGAATAAAGATCGCAGGAGGGCGCAAGATCTGTGAGCCGTGCAAAATTGGTGGCCTAAGGAGAAACAAGCAACCTGAATTGAGCGAACGCCGAAAGGAGGGTGTGTCAAACAGTGGTTTAGGCATGTGACAACCTGCCATGCTCGACCTAAACACCCCCAAAACGAGTACCCTAAAAATTAAAGACCCCATTTGAGGCAACTTTCAGGCGTTCGTGTTGAAAGGAACAAACCACGCTCAGGTTTTCGAGGGACATGAGAGACGGCCTGTAGTCTGAGATGCACCCACATACCTCTACCTCAGCTATTGCTCTAAACCAAAAATAATACACCTTAGATTAGAGTGATCTGAAACGAGACCCGTGATCTGCTTGCATCGGGGAACCTCGCCCTCGCGCCTGGCGAAGAGGTGGGAGAACACGCAGGACCTCAGAATCAACACCATGCTTTAGGCATGGGTTTGGGATGTATGGAGGCTTGTGATGCACCAGCACGAGCTCAAAAACCAGTACAGACTCCTTACACAAGTGGTCAGCTTTGGGAAACTCTTTGCTTGTGAGCACACATCAAAACCTTGACTAAAGATGGGCGCAAACTGGAACACCAAAAGCTCTCGATACCCAAACGCCGAACAAGAGGTAGTGAGTGATGGACACAGCAGAGCTGTGCAACAAATGAAAATTATAACCTGTTCCAACAGATTCGAACTGAGGTCCCCCCCTCCAAATGGTCGATTTCCTGTTGGTGTTCTTTAACACCATCCTGGAACCAAGACTTCCCTTAGCCAAACCTGGGGAACTCTTCGCATCTGGTGTTGAGACGATGGGCTTGACCCGTCAGCTCTTTCTCGGAGCAAGTCTTCGAATCCACGAGGTTCCAGGTTCCATAGATGGCCATGGGTCAAAACCCAAATCGTACCCCCAGTGAACATCCCAATCCCCACTGAAATAGGTTCTAAAATGGGTGGTGCACCTATCCCCAAATGGTACCATGGGTTTTGAACCATGGCCATATTTTCCCAAACAATCCAACCAAAGGACTTCAGCCTAACCGGGGAAGGATATCCATCCCAGCATGGTTTGTGTAGAAAGGACTTCACTCTGTAGCCCAAACTGGTGGGGAATATAGCAGGAAGCCTGGCTACAAGAAACCCCTCTTCTTGGGCGAGTCCTTCTTTGGGGTAGGGGGACCCTACCCTTTTGGGAGATTCCCCCTATTTTGGTTTGGTTTTACATCTTGGACACAAATGCTCGGCTTTCCCGAAATTAACAGACACCCCGGCCCCCCCCCAAAAAAAAACGAACTCCAAAACCTGTTGGCATGGACACCTGGCTTCTTTGACATCTGATGTAAAAGTAGAATAGATCACCGCAGGTTAAAAACAACTCGAAAAATATGGAGATCTAAAATGCACAGCGATCCGCAAAACAAAAACCAGCCAGAAATTCAAGGTGAGCCTGGGAACCCAAAAGCAAGTCCACAAAGTGCCCCTCCTGATGGCTCCGAAAAACGGCGCTCGAATATCTTTTGTCGAACCTGTTGCCATGCGGACTAACTGTTGGGAATACGGTGCAGCACATGCCAACATGCCTTTTAGTATGCGCACCAAATTGTTTTAGGGGATTCCTGTGAGTACTATAAATCAATCCAAAGTTAACTCTATAAACCATCCCTTGTGGTTGCTCGCGGGTGGCTCGTTTTACTTTGGGTAACCTTCAAAGCAAACACTCCCAAAGGTGTCCCTATTTGGGAGTTGGTGGGGTTCAAGGGCAAGCCAAAGGGAAACCGTTTCTTTTTTTGGGGGTGGTGGTGAAGCATTTTGACCATTAAAGTTGACATATGCCCCAGTGATGGCCAACTCAAGGAAGTGGAAGCCGATGGCCTTAAGTCTGCGCCTTCACTGCTTCACTTGGAAGCCCGCTCTGCGTTCTATGGGTCACTCTCTGCTTCACTTTGAGGTTTCACTTCGCACGAGGCGAGGTTTGGCATTTTGGCCCTGCATCACGCAGCACGAGTCAAAGCCGCGAAGCCGACGGCATCACGCATCACGCGCGCCCGGAAAATTCGAGTGGCTCCAGCACTGAAAGTGGTAAGCCTGTGTCAGCCACGGTCCTTGTGCTTCGCCATCTTGTGCTTCGCCATCACGCGCAGCTTCTTCTTCGGCATCTGCTCTTTTCTGACTTAAGCCAGCCGGAGCGCGCGCCCGAAAGGCACGTCCACGTGGGTGTATCTCACGCTTGTTGCTCTGTGCGGGTATCTCTCATTTGACACACATGGGCGGAAAACTGTTAGGATGTTGATTGATGGCTGAACATGTCAACGTGGGCAATCGTGTTTCAAAACCACTACACAATTTCAGGGTTGTCCCCAAATGCTACCAGAAGCATACGAGGAAGCGTTTGCTACATGTGTTGTCCGTCTCGTCAATGGGCATTTGTGTTTCAAGCAAAGAACATATGTGCAATCGCCCCAAATGCGGCCCCAGGAAATTCAGGGATTGCAAAGCACACGGTGTGCGCTCTTGACCAACCACTCGACCTCTTGCTATTGCAAATCATAGCCTTTCCCCATCCCGGCAAGAGACCGCAAGTAGTATTGAGTTTAATTTGACGACGGGTGGCCCGGAAGCATCGAAAGACGTGAAATCAACTCGACAGCTCTCCCACTGCAGATGAGAAACAAGCGTAAACACATCAATGTCCCTTCGCAGCTTCTGCAAGTTCTGATGAGCAAGCTTGGTGAAGGTGTTCAGGTCAACCTTTACCAGGCTGACCTGCCCGGAGGCCTCCGAGCAGGTCAGCCATTGCCAGGCTGACCTGCCCGGAACCGGGCAGGTCAACCCTCCAGTTTGGGCACACCGCGCCGGGATACAGCGCAAACGCGCTGGATGCAGCCAGGTTGAGTCTGACCTGCCAGGTCAACCATTGCCAGGTTGACCTGCCCGGAAGCCTCTGGGCAGGTCAACTTGGGGCACGATCACACAGGCACGGCATGGTCCGGCAACCCTGAAAAACCAAATCCCACCGGCACGGAGCCGTCCGCACCCAGTGAACGCTCCCATCGCGGAAGAGGCTCCCACTAAACGAGAACCCATCGCATAGGTTCAGAGCGCCTGGGGCGCCGGCTCCTTCTGCAGACGGCGCCAGGCGCCCTTCGCAGCCTCCTGGAAGCATCCCGCCTTGGCACGAGCGGTCTGGAACCTGTGACCAGCGACGTTTCCAATTTTCCAACTAAATGGACGGCATACCCATCCAAGCCAGTGGTACCTACCTATTTCTTACCAAACTCACCTCAAAAGGACACCTATGCCGGTGACCGGAACCACAAATTCCACCTTTTGAATCCCCTGTACTTGTGGTTCCTGCCTTTTCAGCTTGGGCTCAAGCCAACAGGTTTCAGCCGAAATCCATCGCACCTCAGGGCTTCGGGGTTTGGCGAAACCCGAGTTCCCTGGTCTGGAAGCTCAGAACCACAAGACTGAAAACCAAAAACAGAACCCATGGCTCGGGGATTGAACCGAAAGTTTCTGGGCAGTGGCTTGAACCTAAAGCTCCCTTCATTCAGGGTGGCCCTTTCCGGGGCTCCACCTTCGGGACCCAAATGCCATGGGTCAAAATTCAAATCGTACCCCCAGTGAACATCCCAATCCCCACTAAAATGGACAAATGGGTGGTGAATTCACCTACCCCAAAATGGTACCATTCATTGATTTTGACGACCACTGCCAAATCAATCGAAGCGAGCGATTCGCCCCGAGGCGTGGGCCAACTTCTCGAGGATCACGAGCTGCAGCTCCCGGACCTCGTCGAGGCTTTGGGTTTCCACCTGCTCCGCCTGGCGGTGGGGGGAGCTTGGCGGAGGTGGGGGGGGTAGAGGGGGTGGGGGTTGGGGGGTGGGGAAGCCTCTTTAGTTGGTCAAACCCCTTTAGTTGGTCAAACCCCTGACATTTTGGAGATCCATTTCCTCCCGCAGGCATGTGTCAAGATCGAGGCTTTCCTTTTGGTTTGTCAAACAACCCCGAAAAGGGCACAGAAAAAAATGATACTTCAAAAACAAGTCAAAACAAAACAGAGATCATTTTCGACCGCCTCTTCCAATGTCGTCTGACCAATCGCGGCAGGCCGTCCATCGAGAAGCTGTCAAGGAAGATGCACATCTCCTCCGGGGACACGCCATGGACCCCTGGAAACTGTGGGGAAGATACCACCTCTGGGTGCTACTCGCGGGGGGGGGGGGGGGTCAAGGGAAAAATAATTCATCCGCTCCCTTTGGGTTTTCTTAAAGAACATGAAAATTATGGGCGATTTGGCACCCAGACCCATTGTGTCCATTTCTGGGGCTTCTCACAGGCCCCCCCTTCCATGAACTCCTTGCTAAAGGGAAATGACCAAACATACTCTTCGAGAAGGGGAACCTCGTAGGGAACCTTCCCTGTGGGAGGGGGGGGCAATGAACTCCACTGCTGGACGTGCCCAAAAAGATTAAGCCATGCCCAAAAACGCCGGTCGAGGAATATCCGCAAATCCTGCTTGGGGTTGCACAAACATATCCCAACACCGGAAAATTCCAACAGATCAATCCAGTCCACTTTGGAGGGGAGGTTGCCAGTGAAAGTGGGGCGGGTCATCTGAGTCATCAACCCTTGCGTCCAACTACGCCCCTGGAAATCACGAAATCACGCAGCTTTTGGCATACAATATGTTCCATTTCCCCAGGGACACCATGGGGGGGGGGGCGCATAAAAGACGGGCATGGCTATGCCCCATATCTCAAGGGTTGGTCCAACTTGGAGGGTTTTTCACATTTGCTGGGGGCTGGGAAAGGGGCTTGGGGGTTGGGCATGTTTTGTCCTCAGGTTGACAGTCAGTTCGGTCGAAGAAAGCCGCACTCGCTTCGGTGTCTCAGAGGGCTCCTGCAGCGTCTCCACAAGGCGGCACGCCTCTTGCACATCCTCCAGCGGGTCGCTGAGCTCGTTCCAGCCTGAGTCAGTCTCCGCTTAACTGTCGGGAAGCCTCGGTTGGCCAAGTTGCCCCTCAATAGATTTCCACTTGGCCTGCAGCTGATCCCAACCAGGGTTGGTGGAACCCCTTGTGGCAACGTGTTTAAACCACTCAACTGCTGAAACACCTTCTTTTGGTGTTCGTGTAAAGACAGCATATGTCAACCAAGGTGGCTCTCTATTGTCGAGCTGACTTTTGGGAACCTCTACAAACGGTTATACAGTTTTATTTAGGCCTTATTGCAACGACCACCTCCACACATTCGCCAGATCGAAGGTTCCCCGAGCTCAAATGGCCAAGAGGGTTTTTTTGGAGGCTCAAATGGCTCCCTGTGAACATCCAAAGGCTCTAGAATGGGTGGTGCACCTACCCCAAAATGGTACCATTGGTGTTGACCCACGGCCAAATGATTTTCAAACCGACTGCCCCGACTGCCCCGACTGCCCCGACTGCCCCGTGAAAGGAGGCCAGACACGTCTGGAGGCCCGGCGCTGCTTCACCGCCTGCGCGGCCCGCGCAAGGCCCGGCGCCAGCACCGCCTGGCCTCGGAACTCTTTCGGGTCGAGGCGCTCGGGATGCCCCGAACTCAGGGCGCGGAGATTTGGAGCTTGTCGTTGTTGTTGTTTTGGGCGGGTACCAATTTTTAACGTGACTTTAAAAGGGAAGCCAAAAGGGAACGCCATCGTTGGGTTTTGTTGCGCAGGTACCAACTTCAAGGTGAGGTTGAAAGGGAAGCCAAAAGGAAAAAAGGCATCATTTGTGGTGTCCCCAAATTTTGATTCATGCCCATTTGAGTCACAATCAAAACCTGGTATAAAAATGGTCTAAGAGCCATGTAAAGAACTAAGAAGGCGGCCGCAGCTATTTATGGTTGGGATTGTCCCTTACTAACCGTCATCTACCCGGGTTTTGAGTGTGGCTCATTTGCAACTCCATGTTCCGACCCATTTGGTCAAAGCGTCCCTTCCTTGTAGGGAGGAATCAGTGAGTTGGAACGCACTGATGGACAATTTTCCAAGCAGCAACGCCCCTCAATCTCCCAGCGTACTCAAGCTCCTGCTGGGTCCTTTCGTTTTGGCTTCCGATTGATTTGTCTGCGGCTTCCGATTGGTTTAAGGTTCCAACAGTTGCTTAAAGCAATGGCCCCATGCTGCTTAGAGCGCCCAAAGCCATGAGCGGCGAAAATCCTCAGCCAGTCGCGCGTGGGGCCTTAGGCCACCCCTCCAACTCGAAGAAAGGGCACTTTGAACGCCTGGACAAGTGGCTTTGCGGCCTTTCCTTTCGTTGGACACCTTTTTTGCCGGGAAAAAAAACAAGAACCATCCCGAGTGGACAGCATCTTGGCCCCCGGCAATAGCGGCGCTGCGCGGTCTTGCTCGAGAGACAGCTGGCGCCTCAGGAATGAGCGCTACCATCACACACTCCCCTATCAATATGGAGCTCCCTCAAGGAGTAAATGCTATGTGCAACTCATTTTGCCTGGGCGGTTGGGTGCCAAGCCAAAGCCAAGAATGATCATTGCCTTCACGGGCGGAATGAGAGTGACCCCAACGAGGCTGGACTACCCCCCCCCTTCCTCCACTCAATGGGAAACCACGGGGGCCACTGAGGTTTGCCCCTTGCCCGCCAAGGGACAAACTTAGACCTGCAAGTTCACTTCTTTGCTTTTGCTGGCTGAGGGGAGCCATCAAAAAGGCCGAAAAAGGCAAACAACGAAACGGGTAAGCTACGTCTGGCCATGCCTAAACCAGGAAAACGGCTTGTCTGACAGGGTTCAAACCCACCAATCCCAAACACCAAGACTTATCCTTAACAATCCCACCAACGGCTTACCCGAGAAAAATGGGTGGTTTGGATGGGTGATACTTGGATTTGAACCGGTCCACGTCACCAGCGGCGCAGACGTCCGGGCTCGCGGCGCTCCGCGGCGCGCTCGAAGAGGTCCGCCAGCAGCGTGGCGAGGCCGAAGGCCTCGCATGTCTGGGGTACGCTGATTTTGTTGATTCTGTGTTACACTGGCCCAGGAAGAATAATTAATCCGAAAATTGGTTTGCGCATTTACAGCGGCAATAACTATTGGTCGATTTTGTTTCCACAACATACTTGGAGCGGGGAGCTCAGGAGACTTCATTTTCTGGGTGTTCATTACACGGGGGAGCTCCCCTGTTTTAATACATAAACTGGGTTTAAAATAGGGGATCCGAAAACAACCACAAATTGCGCATCCCGCTTTTGGAACCCTAAAACTAACAATTACAAGAAAAAAAGGCGACACCTAGACACCAACAGCAACCAAACTCACTCATTTACGAACCTTTGCCTTGGGACAGGGAGGGAGGCTGTTGTGGGAGAGGGGGAGGGTTTTTGTTCCTGCTCTTGTTGCTCAGAAACTAATGCCTTAAGTGGTGGGCCAGAAAGTGACCGAAACCTGGTACGAGCCAAAGCTTGAGTCAACAGCATGAATCAGTTGTCAAGGCTATCAACAGCACAGAACAGCAGTAGAAACCCAAACATCTCGAGGCAACCCAGAAAACAAAAGCAAATACAGTTTTGAGGGGAATGTTCTGACATAGCCACATCCTTGTGTTCCTTCTTGTGTCAAGCCCTGTATTGCTTTGCAAATTGCACTCATGCTCTAAGCAATACTTTCTTCAACTCTGCAAACAGACTTCCACATAAAACACGAGAAACACCAACCAACGAATGAACCAACCGACCTACCGACCGACAAAGAGACAAACAAACAAACAAGCAGGCAGGCAGACTGGCAGATCAAAGAACGTGTTCGCAGGCGAGATTTGGCATGCCCCAGACCTTTTGTCTGGACAATTGTCTTTCTAGTTTTTGTATTCTTGTCGCCTCTACATCACTGCAAAAGCAACACTTTGACTTGTCGAAAGCCACCAAACAAGGACGTCTCTATCGGGGCAAAGGACCATATGGGTGTGAATCTCAATAGACCCGCAACGGTGGCCTTTTCAACTTCGGTGGGTATTCATGTCCAGCACTTTTCAGGCGGTTCCAACCATTAAAAGCCATGGCCACATTTGGAGCTAAGGAATAGGGCCAGAGCAAAAGCCCCCCATGCCTCAAGGGGGAAGTAGTTGGTACAAGTGATGAAGCCCCAAGTTCCCTTCTCATGAGCTCCTTCTTGCTTAGCAGGGAAAGAGAACCCTGAGAGTTGAAAATTGCAAGGATCCCAAACCCAAACTAACTTCCCTTTTTTGACCTGGAAATAGAAGGCGGTCACCCGCTGAGGCTTTCCATTTGCGTTTTCGCCCCCTGGGAAAAATAACATAAGATCCAGCAGTGATCGATTCCTTTTACAACCAACAGGGGAAAAACACATCTTCAACAAATGGAAGTTGACTCATGGACCAAAACCCCAGGAATCACCAAACAACAGGTCAACATCCAGCCACGCCTCTGGCCCGGCGCCTGACATCAGATCCCCCCAAACGGGTTGCTGAAATTGTTTGGTCTTAGGCAAGAACCACAAGCAAATGGGGGAGGGTCCTCAAGAGATAGATTCTAGGTCCTCCAGATTTGAGAGGGTAGAAAAAGTTGGTGCCGAGGGTAGAAAAAGTTGGTACCCGTTGTTTTTTCTTCTTCTTTTTTTGTCTATTTTAGTAGGGGAACCCTCCCCCAAAAAAGGGTAAAAGGGCACTACTGGGGGACCTAGGTTGGAAGGAGAGCCTTGTGAAAGATGAATGCCAGGTTCCACCGACATACCCCGGATGAAACCCCAGATTCAGCAGTTATTCATGGTGATACGTGGGTTGCATAGAGCCAAGGGTGACCAATTCGGGCAAGTGCAAGCAGGTGCCTACGGTAGCTGAAGGAAGTTGATCCTCGGTTACCCGACTGCAAGAAACCAAACAACAAAAACAAGCGCGGACTGCACTTGCGGAACCACTTTAACAATGCCATGTCCACCGGCAGAAAAATCAAACGGGGAACAACAAGTACAGGAAGCAAACTGGTGGACGTCAAGTGGCAAACTCACTTTAAACTGAGAAAACTTGGTGTGCCCGTTTTTGAGGGTGCCCCTTTCTGGAAGTCGAACGAAGGAAAAACCACTCATGAAAGGTTCCCCATGAGCAGACACCCGAGCAGTGCTTAAACTAAGCAGCAAGCCCTCGCAGGGGACTTTGGCTTTGATTTGTGACCTGGGAATCGTGATGTTTGAGAGCTCTGATTTCTAGTCCGTTTCTGGGGGTCTCGACACTTCTAATACAAGGGCCGAATACATACCCGCATGAATGTTTGTATGACCATGGCTTCACCTGGCTTCACCTGGCTTTGAAGTACCCCACATCCCTTTTCTATTTGTCTGGCCTTTTGCATCGTGTCTCCTATGAACTTACAGGCTGATTTGTGTAAACTGTATTTAAACCCTTTGCTCCATGATTTCTCACACTTCTTTGGCCAAAAGGTGAGCTGGTCAAAGACTCAATCCGAACCAATCCAAAGCAGAGTGCGTGGCTAGGAACGCCTCAAAGCGGTGGACTCGGAAACGGGTTTTCATTGTCTCCCCCTTTGGCTAGGCTTCCAAGATGCCAAGCACTCTTAAAACAGATATCAATTTATATGCAACGCACTTCTTCCGAAATGTGATCCCAAAGAAAGAATCCACTCAAAAAACGCTGCACCATGCTTGCCTAAACGTTGGGCAGAACTCGATCTTAAAACCAACCTACCAAAATCATGGATGACTCGCACCTCTTCCACCTGCTATTTCAAGGGCCACACTAGAAGAACCCTGACAGCCAAACTGACTTTGACCCACTTGGCTGTGTCTTTTTTAAGGGCTCCTTTTTTTTGTGGTTTTAAAGGGAAGCCAAAAATAAAACCCCCCCTTTTGGGAGGTCCCCTAAAAAGGGACACGTCCACCTGGGAACCAGCCAACATGCCACGACTTACGCACCCGCTTCAGCGCCTGTCCCCTGGAAGAGAGGCCTGGCCGACAGAGAGTTCCACACAACTTGCGAGGGCCCAGAAAATATCAAATGGCTGTGGCAACCAAAAAACCGGAATTCCAAAATGGGTTGCCCGATCGGTAAGTGGAAACATGGGTTCCAACACCTAGGGTTTGCCCCTCCTGCTTCACTTTGAGCCACACCCATATGGGCCCGTTTCTCCTTTTTTTGTTGAAAGGGGAAGGTGTGGCTTTCTTGGTTTTCCTTTCACACCCACCAAAAATCGGTTCGATGAAACATAAAGCAACTCATCCGAAGGACACCGCCTTAAGACATGTGACGACAGGGGTGTGCGGTACCCTCACTCCACACCTCTCGAGACCCCCCCCCCAAAAAAACAACAAAAAAAGGGCAGCCGTGGGGGAGCCACTGGGCCACTCTTTTCTTGGTCGTTGATTCTAGAGGTCTCCCCTCCCAAAAACGAAAACAAAGGGTCACCGGACTTCCCCGTCAAACGTTGATCAACATGCGGGTGGTTTCCCAAAAACATGTCCCCTCCCCAAAAAGAAAGCCACGAGGGCCCAATTTTTGGAGGAGAAATCCTTAGGTAAAACCACACAAGTGACTCGACCCCCCCGTTTATATATATATTGTGATTCGGGCACGAGCCTGTGCCCAGGCAATGGGTAAGTTGGGGTAAACAAGCCACAAAAGAAAGGTTCCCCAAAAGCAAACCAATCCCCGGTCCCAAAGATCAGGGTTTCCCACACACCAGAGAACAACAACCAAAGGAAACAAACCAAACAAGAAAAGGGTTAACCCGCAACCTTGGTCGACAACAGGCCGCACGACTGGTCCCTACCAACCTGGCGGCGGCCCGAGGTCTCTTTCTCCCCCGAGATGCCGTCGGTCGACGCAGGGGTTCGGCGACGCCCATTCGAGGCGCGACGGAACCCAAAATCTTGAGCCAAACATCACAGGTCAGTCACTACCGCGACATCCCTGTTGATGAAATGAATCATGGCTAATCACACCCCCCTCACGAGGAGCCCGTCATATGACGGGTGGAGCGTGCCATTTACTGATAGGATTTAACTGCTCGCATGCGTCCGCAAACAGCTGGACACTACCGCCGTCAGCGGTGGAGCAAACCCACAAAGGCAGTTGCGCGACATCCCGGGCATTAAATTCCCGCCACCACCCCGAATTAATCGGGGTAACGCTGTCCAACACACCTTGTGGAAAAGTCCACATGACGACACTAGGTCACAACTGTTTGCATCAACAATGCAAGAAGTTTAATTCTTATCAGAAGCCATGAAAAAGAAGATAACGTATGTCCAATTAGCACCCTCGCCTAACGGCAAGAGGTGCTCCTGACCATGCGTACCTGAAAAATGCTTGAATTCCACAAACCCGGGAGTAACCCCCCATCAGTTTGCTTTCCCTCTCACTCACACTGCTTCCTGATGAACACGTCCAGCAGCCCAGCAGCGGTACGGGAGAGACATGGCCTCCGCGCCTCAGCGGTCCGGTCCGGGAGGAACATCACCACCTCCGCGCCGCGCCGACCATTGGAGAATGGACGCAAGCCTACCGGCCGCAATCCCCGTGACTTAGCCTACCGGCTATCGTCACGTCTCCTCCGGTCACGTCCGCCCCGCGCACGGTCCCTATCCCGATCTCTTTCGGATCTCCTGCGATCATCTCGCCTTCGATCTCGCTCCCGATCGAGTGAATCATCATCACGACGATCACGAGCATCGTCCCTCCTCCGGTCTCGATCATCCTCGCGCCGCGGACGGTATCTGCGCCTTCTCGACCCTCTGGAATCCCTGGTGTCCACGGTCCTAACGGACCTCCGAGAAGGAGTACGGGAAACATCCGATTCCCTACGCCTCCTCCCAGAGCGAGAGTTCGTCACGATCTGGTTGAGAGCCTCCAGTGCCGACGCGTCCTCACCATTTCTGATGAAATCCCTGACCTGCTTGTTCAGCACTCTGTTGGTGGAGATCGACAAGAAAGCGTCCACCACCGAACTCTCAGGCAGCACCAGGAAGTGACCCTCCACCGGGCTCGCCGCAGCCCGCTCAGCAGACTGCAGCCGGATCTCCCCGCCTTCAGGCTTCTTTGCCATCGCCTTGGAGGCCGTCAAAGGCGCTACCGCATCCTTTGCCGAAGATCTGCCAAGCGCGGAGTGAAGATCATCCCCGCTAGCTTCTCTCGCTGCCGCACCTGGTCTGCTGTCGACGTCGCCAGGCCTCGTGGATGCCTCCCGCTTCGTCGACTCCTTCGCAGCCTCGTCGGGATCCCAACGGGATTTCCTCTCTCTCTTCTGCCCTTCGGCTGACCCGCGGCTACCGCCGGGAGCGTCACCTCCGCCTGTCTTCTCCTTCTTGACCTCAACCTTCGGTTCGGCCTGCTTCGTCTCCTTAGCCACAGCTTTTGGAGCCGGAGCATTCTTCGCCTCAGATGCTGAAGCAGCCTTCCCTCTCGGCTCGGCCTTAGGAACCGGGGTCATCTTAGCCTTAGCACTCGGCCTGGCCCCTTCAACCACCATCTCAGCCCAAGATTTCTTCGGCTGGGCAGCTGCTGTATCAACCTCCATTGGAGCAGGTCCAGCATCATCCTTCGCCTTTGGGACAGATGGGCTATCGCCCTTCCCAGACCCTTTACCTGACGCTTCACCTGACTTTGGTGGTGGGCCGGAAGGACTACCGCCCTTACCGCCCTTTTCCCCTTTCTTCCCTTTTCCTTTTCCGCCCTTGGGGACCGGCTCCTGCTTGGGACCAGGACCCGGCGCAGCATGATGCACCGATTGGAGTCCCTCGATGTCCACGTTCAATGGTTCGGGTTGACGACCGTCAAGAACCGTCCTCACCCTTTCGTCGCCAACGCAGACGAACGGGTCACGGAAGGGTGCGGGAGGCTCCGACTGTCCGGCATTGATCGCCTTCTGCACCTTGGCTATCGCCTCCTTCAACCTCTTCTTCTCATCATACCCAGTCTCCGTCACCATGTACTTCCTGAGCTGCGACATCAACGCATGACTCTCCAGGATGTCCACGTCCTTTCGATGGGTCGGGTACAATGGGGTCAGATGACCAGCCGCGGAACCAATCACGTATGCCATCGGAATATAGAATGACAAGTACGTGTCATGACGAGCGAACTTCCTAACGGAAGTCGTCATACGCCTACCCCACTGAGCAGCGTGTCTTGGGTTGGCCCGGAAGTACTCCGTGACCGACTCAAATCTATCGACTTGGTTGGTCTTGATCAGGTGCTTCGCCACCCACTTCTCCACGAACGCATCCGAGGCCGAAATCCCGGACACGTAGGAGAATTGGAAGAGCACCTTCGCCAGCTCATCCCACGCCGCATCGACACCTCCCTTGTCTTCACCAAGATAAGGGGGGAGTCGAATGCCGCTCTGCACCGTCATCCTCAGATCGGATGCCATCGAGTAGGAAATCAAATTCCTCTTGATGACTCCGACCACTTCGGAGGGAATCCTCCTGGGCTTGAACTGCCCCATGGTCCTTACCCATTCAGGCACGAGGTAGCACCTTTCGAAGTCCTTTTCCTCCGCGTTGGGGATAAAGTTCGGGTAAAAGACCGGGAGCGCACACCCGGGACACAAGTGCATCCCATTTGGCATCAACTCTGCGCACCTCAAGCAGAACGTGGCAGTCACATTCAGCCTGATCTCTTCCCGTGATCGCCTGTGCTCTCCCCTAACGGGGGTGAAGTCACCGTAGTCCCATGCCCGATGGTACACTATCGTGTAATCATCGTACATATACGCCGCCTTCCAAGCCCCCATGTGGATCTCGTTCCTAACGGCAAGAGTCTTCCTTCTCGTCAAAAACACGGGTCCAACCAAGGACCAGTGCACCCGAAGATCCACCATTACCACCACGTACCTACCGGAGTAGTTCCGCAGCCTGTCCCTGACATACCACGAAGGCGATACCTCGGCATCCGGCGCCATGGCTCCCACAAGTGGGATCAGGCCCTCATCCTGTCTACCATCTCCAATGGTCTCGTACACATCGGGCCTCGTGATCAATATCTCGATCATGGCCTTTCCATTTCGCCTCACCCTTTGGAGCTGAACCGCCTTCCGAAAGTCCGAGAACTTCATGATGATGTATCCCACCATGGGAAGTTCGTTCCAATGCATCTCATACATCAGAGATCCTCCAGGTGCATCTTCTTGAGTATACCTGTTCCTAACGGCACTGTAACTCAAGTCGCGTCCGATCCGCGTGTGCCTAACGGCAATCAACCTGGTGCTCTCTCTGAGGAGGACGCCATCCCCGTCGTACATGACCATGAGCATCACTTCCACTTGCCCTACCGGGAAAGCTTTGATCATCGGAATGAAGAACTTCCAAGACATCTCAGCGTTCTCCATGCCCGAAATCTCCTTCAGGAACCAGATGGCCTGGTCACTTTTCACCCAGTTACCAGCCTCACGTCCGGCCTCCTTCAGCACACGTTCCTCGAATAACTCCGAGACTCTCTTTGAATTGATGACCAAACCGTCGGAATCGCACGAGAGCAGTCTCATCAACTCCTTCGCCGCCTCCCGTCCTGCGACAGTGCCCACGGTCTCCTCGTAGTTCGGGAGGTACTCGCCCAACCTTGTCTTCGAGGGAACCACAACCTGGCAAGTGACGGCCTCATCAGGGATAACTCCCGTCTCCCTCAACTCTGGATTGATCTCTCGCCTATCGGCAAGATAATCCTTCTTCCCATCCAGTATCACAAGATTGTAGGTCATCTTGCTCGCCGCCTCACTAGGCCTGAACTTCCTGCTATCATCCAGCTGGTCAGGAGCGAAGGGTCCACTAGGGGCAGCTGCACTCACCAGAGGCGCTCCTCGCCCAGAGCAGAGGTGCTTCTTGTGAAAGTTCACCATCTGATTCAGCTGCGATAGTGCGTAGGCACGATCCTCCAATGACGCACTCTTCATCCCAGCCTCTGTCAGAGGAGCCTCAGGCTTGTCATAACTCGCCTTTCCGCCCCATCTCG